TCTTTCGTTTTACTCTTGAATTAAATTGATCTGTTTAAGGCTGAGTTATTTGTCTGAGTCTAGTTCATAAACTGTCTGCAAATTTCAATAACGTTATAAGTTATATATTTTCTGCATAGACGATTGACATATTATAAAGCCGGCAATACAAATAAACACAACAGATAAAGCTGCTCCGACAGTCAGACTTGGGTAGCTGTATAATCTCTAATACTTCCAACTTAGAACGGCACGTTGTCTATATATAGGTAAGCATGCGCAGGGATGCAGTCAATTATTAAAATATTGGACCCTTGTCATTAATTAGACCCTATAATTAGGCCTTTTTTAATAACGGTCCAAGAGAGGTAAATACAATTTGACTTTTCAGGGTAGGTGTAAGCCCCAAAGCTCCATTTAAATTTCGTTTTTCCTCTGGAGTTTCCCATCTATAATTTAACGATTAATTATAAGTGGTCGAGGGAATTGACAATGTTTTTATTACACATGTTTTTAATACACCGTACCTACCTATACAGCATTATTGTCTTGCTGCCTGTTATTGTTCTAAGACACCGAATGTACAAGAGATAGAAATTAATCGTTAAACATTAAGTTCATTGTACGTAATTACTAAGTATTATTATAATTATATCTTGTATATCTATAGAAAAGCCGTTGGACCGTTTCACAACCTTTTCCTTGTTGTTGCGTAAGACTATATTATTATAATTTTGCTTTATTCGCAATACATTATTATATTTTCCAAAGCGACGGAACTCTGCCTTTATTAATTACGATACTTGCAAGGCACTTTCCTTTGTAGTTTGTACGGTTTGACTAATCGACTTTGAGATCCAAGTAAACACTAGATCGAAATTATAGTGTCAGCGGGTAATCGTTTTGGAAACATTGCTATTTTGGTATTATTTTTCATGTAATTTTCCAAACCAGTCTAATGATGGTGTTCAATTAGCTCACATTCTTGTTCACAAAAAAAACCACTCAATTTGTTTTACTAGTTAGGTACTTTTTTATTATTATTCAAGAGACAAATATTTTAAATGTACCAAAAATGTACAGTACAGTAACCAGAAATGTATTAGCAAAAGGGAGTTAGTATTTCAGATGATATTACTCACTTGTATCATTTTTAGAAAATTTGTAATCAGTAAAACACCGGTACCTTAGCGTTGCTTATTTATTATTCCTATTCTACATACGGTTTTTATACACACACACACATATAATCTATTTATTAACGTTTTTTTTTCTAAGGACATTTTAATTATATTTTATTTGACATTTAATTTCAAATGGCGCGGTACCGTCGCTACTATTTAAATTTATATCTTGCAGTAGTTTTACATCTTTATCGCTATCGCTCATTATCTCAGTCAGGTCTTATAGTATATATATTTGGTAGCAGCTATATTTTTGATCGAATCCGATTTTATATTTTCGAATAATTCGAGAAAGGATATTTAAATAAAAAGCCGTAATACGACAAAGGTTTATTTGCCGTTGGGCGCAAAACGACTGTGCCAAAAGACTTGTACTTACTGCGACAAAAACTGCATTAAATAAATATCGCTATCGTTTATATATTCTACATTGAACGTGCCGTATGCGTAATAATATTATGCAATATATGTGATACGGTCTTTGGGTTTATATTATTAATATTATAATATATTTTCACGATTCGCAAATAACTCGACGCGCCGAGAATTATTTTTATCAGTTTTATTATTACTTTTTTTTCTTCTTGAAAATCATATTATCCCTGAGCGACTATATTGCGCGTGAAAAAAGGTTGAATACATTTCATAAAGCACGTTTCCTTTATTTTCTACTTGACGACTTGCCGTAGGACGAGTTACCCTCGACTGTAGATACAGTACTATACAGTGTATACTACATTGTACATCACAATAATCATTAAAAATTACACCTCTTTACGCGCAGGAAACAGAACTGTGATTATTATTTTTGAACGTTTCATAATATTTAGGCTTCTAGTTGTTTAAAAAAATTATCCTGGACCGTCCTTAGCCCAAGGACTTAAGTGGTTGCGAAGCTCTGGTTCAATAATGAAAAAATTATTATTATTTTACACTCCGTGTGCTGAACTGAACGCGTGTAGGTGAGGATTATTATTAAATCCTACAAATATGTGTGTGTGTACGTGTTATTTGTAAAATGAATGTATACCTTTATAAGTACGGTAGTTATGTGTATGTGTACTTGCACAAAACGTGTGTTTTGCAAGGATTCTACGGACTACACCGGAAGAATCATAGTGAAATTCGTTTACAGTCATTCCTTGTCGCCCCGTTCATATTGAATTTGATGTGAAATAGCCGCCGGGTAGGAGACTACCTGCCGGACAGATTCGTTTTCGGTGCTTAAGGTATGTGTATTTTTGCAAAATGGTCTGCACCGGAAAAATGTTGACCGAACCCTCCGTGTTGCTTGTCAATAACTGTTTGGAAACGGCATTTCCGCGTTGTTCCGGTATACATATTATCCCGTCCTATCTTAGCCTTAGTATATAAATGCTAGCGTTCAGAAACAGGGAAGGTATATATGTGTATATATATATATAGCTTCTTCTATACTATCGAAACTAGCTTAAGTCGTAATACCCTATGGGATCCAACGCGCGAACCCCAGTGTTTTCATTGTGTACACTATATTATAGTATACCGTAGACCTTTTGGTCACCGTGTATTTCAGAGTCCAAGCTGATGAAGATCATTAACGACTGTAACAATATTGTCCTCTGCGATGATATTGTTACCTATGTTTATTTTGCAATCGTTGAATCATTATATTATGTTCTATTATATTATAACTAACAAATGTATAATTGTACACTGATAAACCCATATTATGTAGCATTGAGAAGTGGCAGGGTGGAGGGAAGAGGTCAAAGGATGAGAGGAGAGGATGGAATGATGATAAGAGAAAATCGATAACACCTGGGTAACTGATAAGACGTTTATTATTATTATTATTACTGTTATTATTATTTAATAATGTGCGTTGAAGTTGTAATTATTAAACTGGACAACAGACAGCTGGTGTATTTAAAAAAAAATAAACAGAAAAATAAATCACGAAAATTGAATTTGAACGTCCTATCTGAGACGATAAAAGTAAATTGAATGATAATTTACCATTTTAATAACGATAATAACTCGCCCAGATAATGTTTCGTATAGTTTTTTTGTAGAAAATTATTTTTGCACACGTAGACCTAAGTTGAACGACCTTGTCAGCTAGCGATTACGGTAAGCTGTAAGTATTCGAACTTCTTGTAAGCGTGTATTTTTGTTGTGAAAAGAAAAAATACAATTTACCCGTCACGTCAACGATGGGATTCGTTTGCTTTTTTTCAGTCGTTCACATTTAAATAGAAACGGCCATTGTTCAAAATGCATAAAACAAATTATTATACAAAAAGTGCGATCTCGCTTTTCCAGAGTACTTATTCTTACTATTTCGTTTAATTTTTTTTTTTAGTCTGTTAATTTTCTCAATACCAAATTGTTATACTAGTATAGTTCGAATCATTTTTTTCTAATTTAAAATTCTCGCTCGGGAAAATACTGCGTACGATGGAAAATTAAACGCAATATATATGTATTAAAGTGCCAAGAAAAAAAAATAAAAAGCTGAGTTTCATTAAAAACGTGATTGTTGAACAGTTTTGAGTTTATGGACTAGAGTAGTTGTAAGAGGCAAGTATAATAATATATATACATATATATAAGTATATTATTATCAAAGTTACTACTACGGTATGTTGATAATTTTAATAATACATTTTAGTCTTGAAAAAAAAATTGATGTTGTTGGATTAAACATTGGGTTTCTACCTTAAATAGTATTGTTGGTTTTTTTAACTCACACTCGACCTTTTCTCCATCTAGGTATAATGTACCTATACAGATATATAGGTACATTATATTATAAAAATATTATGTGTTTATTTTAAATTATATTATAATATTTAAAGGGCGAGTGTGCAATAATTAACAATATTATTTATTATATAATGTAAAACACAGAGGTATAGTTTTAAAACCAATATGTTTTAGCTTCAACTCGAAGCTAAAATTTTTTTATTTTATATAATATTTATATACGTTTATATTTAAACACAATAGTGTAATCTAACTGCAGTATTAAACAATAACGTAACATAACAAACAACACGTACAAATGTTAAATTATGACCTATAATTATAATTATTGGTAATCTTTAATGCTGAATTAATATTATTCCTAGGTAGGTACAAACATTGTTATCTAATATAATATCATAAGTATGACTTAGCCGCGCATACATACAAAGCGTTGTAGTGATTACATTTACACGATTAGGACAGCCAAACTAATTGCCATTGAGCTGAAATTCGATTTGCATCTAAGTATGACTCATACTAACAAATATACTAAAACTTTAAGAGCGTCAGAGTTGTTTTTGTTAAAAAAAAAAATTGTTTTATACCATAGGTTATTAGGTACTACGTTAGAAATTGTTGCCAAAGTTTAGCATTTTCGTTTTAAACTTATAATCTTTATTTTTTACTTAAAGTATTTTTAATTTGTTTTTAAGAATAAAATCATAAAATGTGCAAACAAATAAAAAAAAGTATATATTACAAAGCTTTAGCCTGAAATTAAGACTATCCCGCTTAGGGCGCTTGAGAAGTTTTAATATGTTTTATAGGAATTCAAAATTTAATCATATGAATCAAGTTTCAGTTCAATGGAAAGAAGTGATTAAAAAAAAATATATTATTAATATAATTTTACTGTACTAAATGGAACAGAACAAAAAATTCGATAACAAAAAAACGTTCACAAATGATAATAATTGTTTATAACTTACAGCTGGGCAGTGGTTTACTTTTTTAAAAATAATCACTGGATTGCTAATATTTAGTTTGATGAAAATGATTTTTGAGAAAATATTAATTATTCCACAACGGTAATATTTATCATGAGTTTTGATGTAAATTATTGTTATACTTGAATATACAAACGACGTGCAATCAGAAGTTATAACATGACTCTGGCATATGTGTAATTCTAGTACTTTGTAACCAAATAAATTAATTTGACCCAGGATGGACTATTCTTATATATAACAAATTTTCAAACACATATATAATTTGAATAAGAATTGATTGTAAGTGAATCTTTAAAGGCAGACTACATATTTATATACAATATAAACAATAGATATTTTTGCCCAGTAAAACTATTATTTCATTTGTAAATTAAAACGTTGTATACATATTTTTTACACCTTCTTAACTTAAAGTGTATAATATAATAAAATGTAGAATCAGTAACCAAAATTGTATGAAACAAAAAAGTATAATATAAAAATTACAACATAATAAAAGTTGGCCGTAAATGGCTGAGATACAATACTTACAATGCAAACACAATTTAATGGAACGCGGTTATGGTATTAAATTATCGAAATGCGTATTAACAAAAATTTGCAGGCCGGGCATTCGGTTCAAATTTTTTTTTAAAATCAACATATTATCTGAGCATTTGGTTAAGTAATAAACTCTATACCTATTAAAAAAAGGGGTTTAGCGTTCAACGTTTACAAAACGACTTTCAGTAAATAATATACAATATATAATACGGATGGATTTTAAAATAATGTATGTAATTTTGTTCGTAATGCGAAAAAAGTACACAGTAGTTTTGGACAAAGCTTTGGTTTGAGCGAATGGTTAAAATTAAAATGGGATTTAAAAACTAGAATTTTATTCGAAATAAGTACGAATGGATTTTAAGTGGAATTGTGATTATGTTCAATTGTCATGAATACTACTACTCGAATACTTACAAATTTATCTTCAAAGTGCAATATTGATGCAACAAAACTAATAAAACTTAAACGGTAGTTCGATATTTTGATTACCGTGTTGACGCTACGGCGTTTCTTGCAATAATTATTCACGCATTTGTATAGTAAATTACCATTTGTTTTTAACAATAGATTTGCATAATTTTATCGTTAACATAAATAGTGTTATATATTATGTAAGCCGGGAAGTGATAATGTACTTTCTACGAGGAATTACTTCCTATTTATAAGCATATTGTTCTGGACGTCCGTGAGTTTAACGAAATTGACGAATTCATTAATAATAAATGGTTAAACATTTGAATAATTATCAAAGTGGGATGTACGAGTTTGATACCAATATAATTAAACAACCAAGTAGTAAGTATACATACTAATTAATATAACATATAGATACCGTTTATGTGTCGACGCTGACTTACAGGGCTTACATATGAAATACATGTAAATATTTTAGTTTTTTTCTTAGATTCTGTTTGCACGTGGGCTACGTCTAAATGTCGTGGTCAATTTTTTTTCTTCTTGAAAACCGTTCAGTTTTTAAAAAAAAATTGTTGAAACTGTAATTTTACTTTGAATAATTTAAGAGGTAAACATCTCCATTCTCTAATTCTATACATTTGCCATGTTTATGCTGTGCTTGTAACTCAATTTCCCGGGACCTTGTGTTTCTAATGCATAGAGGTTATAGAACTAGACGATTGTAAAGCAGCAGCTGAAAGTGGGTCGGCAGTGTGTAACGAAAAATGTCTATAGGACAAATATTCAGGCGGCAATGGCTGTTCCCTTTTGGAGTCTTCCCGTTGTTTTTTTATTTTCAAATAACCTAGCACCGTCACCAATATGATAAATACAACACAGCCCAAGCAGCTGCCGATGATCAGACCCAGTCTTCTGGTCAGGATCGTGCTCATCTGATGTTCGTCGGAGAACAACGTCAAATCGCCGTCTAACGTTTTGACTTCGGCACAACGACTGCTCTCTGTGTCGCTCGATGAGTGCTGGGACGTGTTTAGCGGCAACCAATTGCCTAGACCCATGATGCAAATCAAATACCTCGTTTCCGGCGTTAGGTTATCGATGAGAGCCGTCTGGGCTTCTTTATCCAAGAACTTGCTCATGGGCTGCGCACATAAATAACAAAGTAATTATAATATATACCGCGATAACGGTCAAGTCCAAAAATCAACTTACGATATGCGATACCGCCATCGACGATATGACGGGAGCTGGAGAACGGTGATCTTCAATGGGATAATATTCCACTTTGTAGCCATGGAGCCCAGAGTGATTCCGACTCTTCCACGACAAGAACACGGAATCGGGTTGAAAGTCTTGTATGGCTAACCTACGCACTACAGGTATAGCGCAGAACATGCGTGGCTCCAAGTTTACAAACACTTGACCTTGGAGATGTGGCGGATGTTGACACGTTAGACCTCTTTGCTGGGACTTCGACATCAGCTTTTGATGATCTTTCATCCATTCCCAAAGTTCTTGTTGATCACAGTCGCAATTGAGTGGATTTTCTGTAAGCAATATTGTATATAAATATACATACATATGTTAACTAATGTATTGCGCAAGTAAAAAAATCTTAAGATGTTTCTGAAATTGTAAAACATAAAATGATATGTTTTAAACTGAATTAAAAATCTGTTTGAGGCTATTGTAAAAGCTCTTAAAGAAAATATCTAAATTCTCAATAGTAGTTACTAACAAATAAAATCCATTATCATAGTTATTATCAGCTGAACCTATAACCACTCCAACTCAGAATGCCACCTAAAAATATTTCATACCTATTTATGTCCCTATTTCAATGGGGTTCTTATAGCAAACATAATATACTCTATTGTTTAGAAATAAGTGATTTTTAATGTAAACAATTATTTTCTAAATATTATTTTAAAATATAAACTAACCTTCTGTTCGTAAGCTTTTGATTTGGGTTTCCAGAGGTCTGAGTGCATTTAGTGGAAAGTTTCTGAAATCGTTCTTGCCCAAGTCGAGGACCTTGAGTTTTTTCAACGTCCTAAACGCGTCGGGAGAAACGGAGGATATCCAATTTCCGTACAAATATAGGTCGGATAAGCTCTCAAGGTTTCGGAATAATCCTTTATTAAGTTTTAACAATTGATTGAACGACAAGTCTAGCACCTGCAGCGATATTAAGTCAGAAGAAAAGTCGTCGATTTCTCTGATTGAGTTGTATGACAAGTTGAGAAGTCTTAAACGACTTAAACCCTGAAGCCTTTCTTGTGGTAATAGTTCCAGGCGATTCCGGCTCAAGTCTAACGTGTATAAATCTTCCAGTATGCTAAAAGTTCCCGGGGATATTTTTGAAATTCGGTTATTGCTAATGTGCAAACTATGAAGATCAGGAAACGTTTCGAAATCTTTACTCCCCAACAGTGTTATGTTTGTTTTGGACATGTGAAGTTCCTCGAGGCTAGACGGATCGTTAACTGGAGACTTTGTCGTTTCTCGGATTTGGAACAATGGGTTGTGGGTAAGGTTTAAAAATCGTAGATTCTTAATGAAGGGTGGTATTTGTCGAAAATTGTTGTAAGAAATGTCGAGACGTTCCAGAGATTGGAAGAAGTTAAGTGGTAATGACGAGAGCATATTGTTGGCTAAATTCATTTCGGTCAACATAGTAAAATACGTTGGCGGATATCCAGTGAGCGTTTGAATTCGATTTTCAGAAATCGTTAGGCTCTTAAGGTTTTTCATACTTGTCAACTTTGACATGTCTAACTCGGTCAGATTATTTTTAACTAACGACAATTTTTCCAAAGTTTCACAACTGGCTAGTGCTGAATAAGGCATTACGTTGAAATCGTTTTCATCCAAATTCAACGCTGTCAATCGTTTTGGATTCTTGAAGACATCCGGTGGCAACGAAATCAAATTGTTATGCATTAAAGACAGACTTCCGACTTCCAGATTGAACTTAAACGTCATTGCCGACAGTTGTCTAATGTTGCAGCTGTCCATATTCACGTGTTTGATGTTTGGTAGGTATTTTAAAACTGTAGAGTTGAGTCCGAACAAATTGTTATGCGATATGTCTAACGTAGTCAACGTAGGAACGTCGATTTGTAACAAGGAATCGGACAACAAGAAATTGTTTTTCACGTATAACTCGACCAGGTCGTTGAGGTTGGCAAATGAACCATTATCGATTGTTCTAAGTGAACAATTATTCAAATATAAATGTTGAATAGGTAAATCTTTTTGAAACATGTATTTATGTAGTTTCAGAAGTGGATTGCTAGAGAGATCTAATATGGTAAGTCTCTTCAGCGCTGCAAACGAATTAGGATCAATATGCGCTATCTGATTGTTGGCAATGTGTAGTTCTTCGAGACCTCTGAGATCAGCGAACATTTTTGAAGATATTTCTTTCAACTGATTAAAACTAATATCCAAATATATCAACGATTGCATTGATTCGAACGAACCTAGTTCAATGTGTTCGATGGAATTGTTGTTCAGATACATTCTATTGGCGTGACTGAGATCCGCAAAGAGCGTCTTATCTAGTTTTGTTAATTTATTATGCCCTAGCCATAATATTTTCAAATTAGATTGTCCTTGCAAAGATCTATTGTGTAGACTAGTCAATACGTTGGAGTCGATTTGTAAGGATACCAACGACGGATGATCGTGTACGAACACGTCATCTAAGTAAGTAAGAAAATTACCTTGTAAATTAATATGCTGGAGATTTTTCATCAAATTAAACGCACCAGATTCTACGTCGGTTATCATATTGTTTTGTAAATGTAATTCTAGAAGATCTGGCAATGTCTGGAAATGAGTTTTTTTAATACTCGATAGTTTATTCTTTTGCAATCTAAGTTCTTTTAAACGGTTATTATATCGGAATGCTCCGACCTCGAGGTTGGAAATTAAATTACTATCCAAACTCAAGGAAGTTAACTTATGACAATTAATAAAAACATTTGCGTCTACAGTTTCGATGTAATTGTCACTCAAATAAAGCTGCGTTAAATCAGAAGAACTGGAAAAAGAACCTGGCTCGATGCTCCTTATTGCATTTTGTGTAATGTAAATTACAATTATCTTTGGAGAATTGGCGAACGTATCACTGGAGATTTCTAGAATATTATTTTCAGACAAAAAAAGTTCTTTGAGTTCTGGTAAATTCTTGAAAAGCCCGCTGATGTAATGTAAATGGTTATGACTCAAATCAATTGTTCTCAGCTGCAAATTATTCTTAAATGTATCCGGATCCATAAATACTATTTTGTTGTGACTCATGTCAATAGACTCGAGTTCAGTCAAAGTACTAAAACCTCGTTTGTGTATGCCTTCCACTAAATTGTAGTAAAGTGACAACATCTTAAGTTTAGGGAATAAACGGAATGCATCTTCAGGAACTGATTCGAAGTAGTTAGAACTGAGGTCGAGCTGTACAAGACTTTTCATGAATGAGAAATGGTCGTCGTGTAACGAAGAGATTTCGTTCCAGGCAATCCGCAAAGACATCAATCGTTCTAACCGTCTCACTGCGGAAGTTGGGAATGTTTTAATTTTGTTCTCTGACAAATCCAATTCGGTAAGACTGTTTTCTAAACCAGCAAATGCATACTCTGATATTTTTACTATCAAGTTACTTTTGAGGTTGATTTTGGCCACATTCAAACCAGAAAAAGTGTAACTACCTAATTCGGTGATGTCATTAGATTCCACGTCAATTGTCTTTAACGCGGTTAGATCCGAGAAAGCTTTCTGGGGTATTTCTTTCAATTTACCGGATATTAATGAAAATACCTCCAGCCCCTTGATGTTACTTAACCCATCGTCCGCAATGATTGATAAGTTTGAATGTGATATTTGAAGTTGTTTTAGTGTGGTATTAGGAGGAAACAGAGCTAGCGATAACAGCCAAACGGAAGAATCGAGATCATAAATGTTCAATGACTGAACGGGTCCTTCCATCGAAGCCAAACCACTGAAAACACCTGCCCCAGTGGCCCCAGGACATTCGAGAAATATTCCATCTTCGAAATCGTGGCACGTACATGATTGGTCTAAAAGCTGACTAGGACAGGTTGTGATGGCGTTTTGTAATTGGCTGACGGAACACGTTCGAAGCCATAAAAACGCGCTTATCCACAGCGACGGCCACCGATCATTGGATTTCATCTCATCGCCATATCAATAAATTGTTCGTTATGGCAGATTTTTCATGTTCAACCTAAAATAAAACAAAAAAAAACATACGTAATTTCAGTACTGTGAAGCAGGTTTACATGTAATAATAATTAATAGAACGCCCATTACACTGTGAGGTTATTAACTATATGGTAGATAAATCAAGAGTTAGTGCGTTGACAATAATTACAAATTGAACAGCTTTCACACATTAATTTTTCCGTAGAACTAATAATTAAATTAAAATTCGTACTCTGATAAAAGTCAAGTTAAGTTTAAATAATGAATGTAAAAGTCTTAATGAATGTAATAAGTGCTAAGCAGTGAACCAAAGAGAGACGACGTTGTAAACGAGATTAAACTGCAGTTCGAATATTTAAGTTAAGTATACAAAGGGGTTCTTGGATTTTAAGTATTCAACCTCTTGCCGTTTGGTATCTATTTTACGCTGGATCGTGGATGTATCTTATGTATTCGGATTTTGTTCTTAGTTTAACTAAAGATACGGTAGAGCATCTTTTTGCATTTCAGTTTTGCCGTAGTTGCGAAATTAAAGTATAGTGGTTTGTTACATCAGAGCTTTACATCACTTTTATCGGAAACCTTTTAAATCGAATACAGTAGTTTTAAAACTATGTTTTTTCATTGTCACCAATTGTGAGGCATTCCACTCAGTGACGACGTCATTTCTTATATTTTCAATCGTATATTCTACTCATTTTTCCATTTTTGTTGGATCAAATATTTGTATACTATGCAGACCTTCTGGTAAATGTATGCGTGTTTCTTAGCATAAAGAAAGAAAAACATAAAAGGTGAAGTTTGTTATTACATACATAAAATATAAACAAAAAGTTTCCGTTATTGTTTCACAGCAGAAAAAATATTGAAACTTTGGTTTAACAATAATGATGTGGGTGAATTTTGGCTTAACGGTTTCCCGCATACTTAAAAAGACTTTAAAATAATGTACAGAACTTCTAAGCACAACTTGAAAAGTGTTGTCGGTCTATTATTATTGTGTCTTATAATAACTTTCAATACTATTAATTTCTTCTAGTTGGTCACACCACGCGTCATCCTCTAACGCCAAATTATTATTACTATAATGGAGAAGGAAAATAAGTAAAGACTTATTGAAATAAAGTACACTTATTTGTTAAGGTGATGTTATTTGATTTTTTGTACAAACGAAATACGCTATTTAAAATATGTCGTTGCCGTATCTTTTTTGAAAACGGAGGATATAAACACTAAACAAGGAACTAAATATCCTATAAGACAAAACTAACCTGAAAAACTGATAAAAATAATCAACTTTTTGTTGTATTTGACGAACGAGCAAATCTAATTTTTCATCACATTATTTTGATTATACCTATTCTAAATAAGAGTCTGGAAAAACAAAACTAAACGCCAGTAGTTTATTCCCAAAGGTTTTTAACTTGTACAAATTTAGAAATGTGTGTTCTATACTATTAGAGGAGGTTAGCTCTCGAGTCAAAAATATCAGCATTGTTACGTTGACGTTTATTTACTGTGCAAAATACAATATCCATAATTTCATATGAGATTTGGAAACGCCTACTAGGAAGATTTCCTACTGAAAAACATATTAACAAAACAGCTAATACTCTTTTTATTGTTACAGATATTATATTTTTCATCTTCTGATTTCCAAGTAATGCTCTAAATAAAGTTTGGTCAGCTTCAGTAAATAATTTAGGGTAAATAATGCTTTTATAGCTTCTTAAAAAGTAAATAATTTAAACTGGGATTTTTTATTAGTTTTTTTGTAGACATCATTTGAGTCTCAAAACATTTTTAACTTTGTGTTAATCAATAAGAATAATCATGAAATTATAAAGAAACTCGTCGTGAAGACATTATGTACGTCTTGATTTTTTTTTGTAATGGGAACTCATTTTTATGTGATAAATATGTTCAGAAATGTGAACAGAATGCTATATCTTGTTGATGCACTAAAAGCGGAATGTGTGCCTTCTTCTTAACAAAGTTAAAATTACTGAGAAATGTTTTTAGTTATTTCTAACGTTCGTGGAATGTTTTAGTAAAACATTTTTATTACATTTTACCTAATTAATTCCAATAATTCTAACTATTTTATTATAATATTAATTTGTATATTTTAATACCATTGATTTTATAATAGTATGTAAAATAATTGAGAGTATACAATTGAAAACTAAGTCAAATGAATAGGGCCTTAAAGCAGTATTAATAGAAATAAGAAAAAAAACAGTACAGAGCACAAACAAATTAGATTGATTATATATAACTATGAAATGATAAATAAAGAATCGATACACGTTATAATATACACATGAGGTATAATATTATGTTTAGTAATACATACAACAAACAGTTACCATGGGTTTAAGATAAATGAAGTGTGTAAATGAATACTGAACGTGATCAACGTCTAGGAAATAACGCCTCTCTTTATTCGTTCTTATTTTTTATAGTTACTTGATTTGATTCTATATTAGTCATCATTGAGTGCCTAAAAAATCCAATAAGACCATACATTTTATGGTATACGGATACGACTGTTTGACTGCTGTTATAATAACATTTTTTCATATACAATAATAATATCTTTACTATAAAGTAAAATATAGGTCAATGTATTTATACATTTTTTTTCGATTACTATCATATTGATATTAACCTGTAAATTGCCAAAAAGAATTAAAACATAAACTTAACACTTGAAAACACAATTTTATACAAATTGAAGTTGATAGTACAACATTTTATTTCAACGGGAAAGTAGTAAGTACGCGTTGAATCAAAATATGAAAACTCTACAAGACTAAAGAAGAAGATGGAACTCTTGAAATTTGCAATTTAAACTTTTAATTAAAAATTAATTTAAATAATATAAACTGGACACGGCTTTTAAAATGTTGTATCATTATTGTTTGAAAATCGTTAAGCGAATATTTTTCATAAAAATTTTTAATAATATTCATAATGAATATTGTATACAGACATTTCAAGTTTGAAATATTAAAATGTTATTAATATAAAAGGAAATAATAAGAAGAATGGAATAAACTGTTGCGGCAACAACGTCATGAAACTAACTTTAGTACACAATTTAAGAATTGTTAACGGTTTATTTCCAAATTTATTTTTTATAACAAAAAATATATTACTTTTTTTTCTTGAGCTGTAAAAGTACTTACTTTGCTGTACTTATTAGAATTTATTACTAACCATTTACTGATGTGTTATTAATACTAGTGTTTTCCATTATTTAAAGTACACTTTACTAAATCGTTTAAGTTGTTAAAAAATATTATCCCGTTATCGTCCTCCTTATGTCCTTTCTAGAGCTGGTTTTCCTATTTAATTTTGTTTTGTATTAAATTCATATAAATTGTAAAATTATTATTTATTCTACATAGTTGTATAATTGTTGTGCTGTAATGTTGTTCATTAATTGCACATTAAAATAAAATTAAAAAATATTGTCGTATCCATAAAGCCATATCCATAAAATAATAATAGTTATAACGTAACAAGTTGCAGCTGTCAGCAATATTAGATCTATATGCGAAATTCATGATACCGTAGAATGATTTCTCTTGTTATTATTTTGGCAATCTCTCAAGACCTTTTTTTATTCGAGCAAGATTTTGTTTGCGATATGCAAAAATACAATAATTTTGTACGACTTAAAATAATATTTTTTTCTTTAAAATCTTATTGGATTTACTGAGAAAAATGTATACTGAGAAATACGTTTGAACGTCAGCGTTTAAAGTTAAAACATGTATATTTAGTTATTTTGCATTGATAGCTCCAAGCATATTTTTATTTTCAAAATATATATTTTTATTTTAGTTGACAAAGCGAATTTGTCAAGAACACATAGAGTATTGCTTAAAAAGAGTCCAATGAGAGCGAAACGTTTGTTAATAAGACGCTTAATGTTTTTAGTTTAAAAAATAAAAGCTGATAAATTGATAATAATAAATTATAAAAAGTTATTAGAAGTTATACACGTTACGTCTTTTCCTTCGAATGTTTATATTTAAGAACGCATTTCCATATTGCATGGCATTTTTCCACCCGAAAATAATCTCTCTCTTTCTCTCTCTAGACCTCCAGATTTTTCACGGAAACCTCATTTGTTATTCTGTCCGATTAGGAGAGTTCTTGCTATTACTTTACCGTCTTTGAACTTTTAACAAAAGTCCCATGACTGATTGCTTGCGACTATATACACCAACAGTTCTTACAATACAAAGAAATTGCATTGACTGCGGTTAAAAAAAACATAATAATAATACCAACGCATTGCATACGGCCGTCGGTCTAATATGTGATTATATTAATATAATATGTATCGCGTATGCATGATTTGTGGGCTTTCATCCGAGAAATTTAATATTCAATATTTCCGTCAGCATATAGCTGCTTTTTTTTTTTGTAAACCAAACTTTTTCGTTTAAATTATTCAACCGAAGCAACAAAATCGTACACACACACACATTATATATATATAAGAATAAAGAGAGACAGTACGGGTCAATATATGTCTTGTATGTAATGTAACGTCCGTTGAATATGCTTGATTTGAACTTTCAATGGACTTTTACCTATGTTTCAGTTATACAAAACTAATAAGCGCACAGCTCAAATAGTTTTCACTCGACTTCATTGCCAGATCTGCTGTGTGCAATGCGCTGATGATAATGTGAGCGATACGGTTAATGTGTAGTTTAATGTAATTTTAGTTATGGCTAAATATGAACCCGTTAACAATTTCGTCGGTTCTTTTTTTACAACAACTTTACAGATTCGATAATATACTTTCACCGATCTATGGTTTCTTAAAACATGGTTGCATTTCAACGTGGGCACTAATATTTTGGCTTGCGATCAGGGAAAAGCAGGTAAGCAGGTTCGTTTAAAGTCGGCGTACGCACGTGCCAGAGTTTTGTTTTTCGCCTATATAAAAATCTTGATTGTCTAAAAGAAACTTGGCGAGAGTCTTGGAAGCAATTAAAA